AGAAAACAGAACTACACGAAAACATACCAGTCGAAACACTCAAGTCACACATAGAAACTACTGCAAGTATACTTCACTTTCCATTCGGGAAGATGTGGAACGAAAATCAAGTGTAGAAAGACTGGAAAGACGGACACCTCATCAAGATAACAAAGAAAACAAATCTGAGCAAGTGTGAGAACTACTGTGGCATCACACTCATGTCAGTGCCAGCAAATCCTTTAAACAGAGTTTTGCCAAACCGGATGAAAAACTCAGTAGACGTCCAACTTCGAGATCAACTGACTGGATTCCGTGAGGATCGATCGTGCACAGACCGAATCGCGACACTACAGATGATCACCACCGAACAATCAGTTGAGTGGAATTCATCACTGCACATCAAGCTCATTGACAATGAGAAAGCATTCGACATTGTGGATGGGCGAACATTATGAAAACTTCTTCGACACTGAGGAGTACCTGAGAAAATCGTCAACGTCATCCGGAATTCACAAAATGGACTACAGTGCACAGTGGTGAATGGATGAAAACTCACAGATGTATCGCAAGTGGGGACCGGAGTCAGACAAGTCTGCTTACCCTCCCACTCAACATACACAAGGGAAAATGCAACATCCTCAAATACAATACGGAGAATACCAAAACAATCACACTTGATGGAGAAACTCTGGAACAGGTGGAAACATTCATTTGTCTGGTTAACAAAATCGACAAACCAGCACGATCTGACTCAGTCGTGGAGACGAGGATTGATGAAGCAACAACAGTATTACTACAATTCCTACAACAACATGTGCAAATCGAAACAACTGTCAATGAATATCAAAATCACAATCTTCAGTACGAATGTCAAAACAGTCAGTTCTACTGTACGGAGCCAAAACACACAGAACTACTACAACCATCATCACAATCATACAAGTATTTCTAGACAATTGTCTATGCAAGAAACTCCAGATCCGTTGGTCGGACGCCATAAGCAAAAACGTACTGTCGGTGAGGAGAAACCAGCTTCCATCTGAAGAGGAAATTAGGAAACGACGTTGGAAGTGGATAGGACATTCATTACGAAAATCACCAAAATGCATCATGGGGCAAGTGCTAACTTGGAATCCTGAAGAGACACGGATAGGAGGAAGGCTACTGGACACACTACATCGAGGATTGGAAGCAGACATGAAAAGGCTGAATAGGAACTGTGAAGAACTGTAAACGATAATCCAGTACAGGGTTGGATGGAGATTGCTGGAGGACGACCTATGCTCCTCGACGAGGGAGAACAGGCGTACGTAATTATATTAATGGAATCTAATATCTTTGCAGATGAATGTAACATATTAGTGAGAAATTACCTGGACTTAAAATTTCGTCTTATCAGACTTAATGACTTCAATTACATGAAACTGATAGAATTGAAATCAAAAATTTAGGTCGCGTTGATCAATCATACTTTACATACGACAAGAATCCTTATGAATATTTATAGACATAATTCATCTTTTCATTGAGAAGTGAAACATAAAGAATTTAATTTAAATTATTACACAGTTGTTCAAAGTGTTCGTAGTAAAATTCTATTAAACAAAAAGTAAAAAAAATAAGCCACTACATAATCGGTGAAGTTCTAGAATTACACATTAAAATTTGTCATATTCTTAAATTTTTTGTGTATACATGTATACATTCATGTAATTTGCTTTCTACAACAAGTTCGAATTAAGCTTCCCACCTACATCGGGAATATATGAACTGAAATCAAGAAAAACGTATAGAATTTTTTTCTAAGTATTTTTCGATTTTTTTAGTATCTTGCTATGCTACTAGACATACTAACAGAACTAACGCTGCAAAATGGAAAATTTATCTCTAAAAGTTGTACTTTTTTTCCGCTTCATTTGTGTCATCATCAGTCTAGTGGTAATATTCTTTCTTTAAAATAAAGTTTATCCGAACATAGTGTAAGTTTCAAATAATCATTAATTATTTTATACAAATGAATTTACAAGCATAAAACACAATAAGCCATGAAAATTTGGAACTAATTCAAATTTCATACAGTCTGTTGTTGTTTATACAAAATGCTTTGCCATATGCCAACTTGTTATTGTATTGTTACTATCTACGGACCTTACTTCGAAAAAACTTTCTTAAATTTACTTGTACCGTTAGATCTAGTGTTTAATTCACATACAAAATCAGAAGTTGGATGGATAAACGACTAGAAATATAGTTTTAAAAGAAACATAAACCGGTCAATATTGGTAGAGTTTTGATCTCTTAGCTGGATGGTTTACTTGTGAAGCTTTCATTGTCCTTATGAATAACATCATCAGCATAAACTTCAGATTTGTTATTTTTATTTATAAGCGGTATTTATCATGAATTAATTTTAATTAGAGTACCACTGAAAAATGAAGAGGAATAGATTCCTGAGTATATCAGACAAACGTCTCCTCTATGGGTCAAATCTTGAACCTTCAGTTCTCTATATAATCACAGCAATGAGACAACTAATTTTTTTCATCATCAAATGTAAAATAACTAGAAGGGTAATATATCGAACTTCCTCTGTAGATGTTGTATATAATAATTCATGTAAAGACTAGAAAAAATCTATGTTCGCATAATTAACTCATTTCATATTAACTTAATCTTATAAACAAATATTAAATGATAAATACACCTGTCTTATTATGTCATTTGAAAAATTATTTGTTTATATCTATTTGACAGATGATTTAATACAAATGATCATTGACTTTTTATCTTTGTATATTCTAATGATTTATCTAAGACCTAAACCAATTGAAACAATTCTAACTAAATATATATTCTTAATACAATTTTTAGATTATCATTATATAAAGTAAGGATACATTTTGTGATTAAATGTTTATTAAAAGTATTCTCTGTACCAATTTAAATGAATTATTTTAATCATTTATTGTAATAAAAAAAAACTCTTGGATATTATTTTCTTCATGGAAAAAACATTGAAGCGATAAATTTTTGATTGAAGTCAATAACAAAGAGAAAAAAAACAAGAGAACAATAGTCATTGGTCGATTGGACACTTGAATAAGATAAAATACAATAATGTCCATGTACGATTGATTTGATTAGTAAAATAAACTTGCCAGTAAAAGAACCCCATAAATATGATGGACGTAATGGATCATATACTTTCATATATTCTGATTATCAATTTCAGGACTTATCAACATATGCCTTTATACTAGGATTTTATTTTTGTTATGGGAAATTTTCTTGAGAGTTTCATTGGTTTGAATATAAAATTATTAAGGAGTTTTTGGATGAATGAGTTGTTATCCAACTTACCCCCTTATATCTGATATTCACAACTCTCCTTTCAGTAAATCATGAAACCAAGGATAATGTCAATCTTAATTTTAGTGTATGAATAGGCGACTCAATGGATTGAACGCTTGAAATTGAAGTTAGGTCAGACAAGATGTAATGGTGACTTTCATTTGCTTTTCTTTCTCATTAACTATCTTAAACATCTCAAATTACATTCTATATCGTATGATTTCATTATTTTTAAACTTTTTCAATAAAATATTAAGCATAGAAAAACTAGATAATCAGTAATTCAATTAACACTTATTTTAGCTTAATAATATTTTCTGTCTATTCAAATATATATTACTTCCTGAAGGGTGAAACAATTAGTCCATGCCATTTTCCCAAACTAATATTGAATTGATTTGAATAAGCATCTGTTAATTTGATAATCATTATAGTAGAATAATTATCTGAATACATATATATTTGTATTATGTTAATCGGTCTATGAATTCTAAATATAAGTTATATGTGGCATAGAATTCAGTTCATTACTGATCAATATTATTATGATAAAATGAAATAAGTTACATTACATGGAAGTTTTGTAGCTCTTGTAAAAATGGTAACATAACAAGCCAATACTCTCTTATGTTAATTAAAATTGAGGTCATTAAAGGTATAACATATAATTATTTTAAGAACAGTTCACATTTTATTTTTGTTCCTTATCAACATGAAGCAATAAAAGCTTAATGACACCACTATCAACATTTAAGTATACCTTGAAATCCATGTGTTTGTTTAAATCAATGTATGAATATTCATGCATAATCTAAAAACACCTTCTATCCAAAACAACTTTACGATTAAAACAAACTTAATTCATGGTTATGGGTGTTAGATAGTTGAGAATATCTAGAAAAAACAAAAACAAATATTTCGGTACGAAATCTAGTGATTGGTGTAAGCTTCAAATACGTTAACAACTATTATGAAAAGAATATAATATTCAGTATTTATCAGAAGATTGACAGTTACTGTTTTTAAACAGATATTTCTTAAAATAATATCAGAAACTCTACATCATGAACCTTGAGTCAGTCTTTTTTAGGTGCTTGCTAGCAGAAATTTATTTATATTGGTTAATACAAATACAACTGACATAGTTCTGCCTCTTTTTCCCCAAACTACGACCTCACATTTTACACAAACACATTGTTTTTAATTCATATTTTTAAACCTAATCCATTTGTGGTAACTAAATAACTTAAAATAACGGTGAAGTGATTCTTTTCTATAAAATTCTGAATCATTTATTGACTATTTTTTAGGAACCTTTACTCAGAGTGTTGTGAATTGAAAGGACTGACATTCGAAAATCAATGTAGAATAACTAACAGATTTCTCTTTGACTCTACAAACTACTAATATACAACAAACAACAAGAAAATTTTATTTTGAATGGTAATTTTAACTCATATTATGACAGTTTAATATGAACATTTAGATATATGCAATTAGTTGTCTAAGAGGTGTGATACACCAAGTCACTAGCTACACCAACGTGGAATATTGGCTAAGATGGAATTATGTCATAAAAAGAATGGAAGTGACAAGAAAACACTTCAGATTTATAGATAGCAATTACGATAATTGAAATCACAGACTAAAAATTGAATACAGCTTACCGTCACCACATTCAAACAATCCATTAAATGCTTTTGCTGTAATAGTATGAGATCTTCAAATGTTAGTTTGGTTTTGTGAGAACTCCTACATTTATTGGTTTTTTGGTTTTTTGTTGTATGTTTCTGCTGCTCATTTGAGTGTTTTCGTTTATCCATGCTTGAATCTGAGAAACTGCTTTGGCTAGCTGGGTGAATATATATAGGTAGGAATGACGGTTTGTTATTCTTGTCTTCAACACTTATTCTTTGATCTTTTCTTTGTTGACTTTGCCGTCCATCATTAAGAGATAATGTACGATCTACTATCTTGCGTTTATTACTTAATTTGAGACTAGAAGAATGCAAGACCTAAATAAATTGGCAAGTTTCAAAGAAAGAAATACTTTTATATATAAGTGTTTGTAGTTAAGTCAAATTAATTACTAAAAAAATAACTACGTATATTTTAAATATTTTAACACTAGATTCATATGCTCCGCTTACAATTCAATAATCATTATTTAGTTCGCGCATAAAAGCAGGATCAAATCCTATGACATTCATAAACTGTCGTTTAATAACACATGTGTATGCATTCTCGAATAAAAACAATTGAGAGAAATGTATCATACTTCCTCTCAAAAGAAAACCGATCATTTAGTTCTCAACCTTATATATGAGGAACAATCTGTTAGTCGTTAGGATCATAGGTCTGAAGAGGTAGGAATTCGAGATATACGATTCTAAAAGAAATGTCCTTTCACCCAAAACAATAATAAGAAGTAAGAAATATGACACCCATGGTAAAAACACTACATTAAAGTTAACTAAACTTCTTACTATCACGACCCACAGGTAACTTTAACCTTTTGTGAAGCTTTTAATTAGTTTGTGTCTTTTATCAGTTTTTCAAATGTTTGATTTAAAGAACAGTGTATGTACAACAGTAACTGTAATTTTTATCAGATGTTGACAAAGTGGAAACCGAATAGTTGAATTTATCTATTACTTAAGAATAGCAATAGGTTACAGTCAACTAACTCGCCGACTATACCTAAATCAATGACTTTTGCGTAACGATTTGGTTTTTTTTCTTCAGGCTGCAATTTGTGATCATTGTGACATTAAGTTCATTTTTAATTTCAATTTAGTTCAAGTTCTAAGCATTTTAGAATGCAGACACTAATTTCTCCCTTACTTTATTGACCTTCGCCTTTATTTATACCTATAATAGACACATTTTCAGGTCTATAATTTGTTGATTTATAATGGTCGACATCAAGTGTATTGGTACACACAGAAAGACGTATTGTCAAGGAACCTGAACAGATAAGAGAAAAAATTTATTCGCTAACTTCGACCCATTATTTCTATATCAGTTGTTAATTATTTTTTCATAAATGTTCATAATGATCAACTGTAAACAGCTTTGAAATATAACTAATTATTTGCTGCCCATTATTCAGTGTTTTGCGATTGTAGAATCATCCATTCTTAATTTGTATATAAACAAAAAAGCCACAGTTACCGATATTATTATTTTACATGACTAGATATTGTTATTCCATAATCGTCTATTCTAGTTATGTTTCCTCATAGATCCCTGAATGGTGGTCATACATGATACACAATCATACCTAGAACAAATAATCCCCAAAACAAACCATGTTTAAAAAACTGAAAGTGAACTAAAATACATATTAATCAAAGTATTTACTTACTTTACAGTGCGTTTGTCTTAATAAATGATGGTTATTCCTCCCTGATAAGTTGTTTGTTTCATATAGTTTGTCTTTCTTAACAATTATATGACTTGAACCAGGAGAAGTATCTTTCGCTACTCCAGAGACTAATTGGTTAGATGTTGAAAGATTATGTTCAAACTGTTGATTCATATTATCTGATTCTGAATAATCTGTTTTAACGCATGATTCATTAACAAGGTTCTTTTTTTTATTTTTTAATAAGGTTAATGAGCCACTTCGAGTTAAATTTGATTGATAACTGATTGTCAGATCACTGCCTGTTGAATTTCTTGATGTATCATAACTTTGATCTTTACCTGTTGACTGATTAGCATTTATTATTGACGCGGGTGAAGTAGATGAGTATGATGTGGCTGTTTTGACTTCGAAATAGGCGGATTTCTTTGTTTCATTATCACCATCGTAATCTTCATCAACTGACGGCTCTGGACTTCCGGATTTTTCTGCACAAGCATTAACAGTTGCCATGAGTTGAGCTAATCTTATTCTTGCCTGTCTGGCACGCTAATAGTTTAGACAGGAAGTGAACCAAATACAGAATCAATTCAATTTTTTCCCGCAAGTCAAAATGATATAAAGTTAAAGATGTTCATATATTCGACAAAAACAGTACAACAACCATCGCATCTTTAGGTTTTATTTATTAGTTCATGTTCACAGTAGGAACCTAATTCTGTCAACAAAATACTTGGTGTCACTTTTAATGGCGTTTTATAACCCTGAATAAATTCATTACCTATAATGCTGAAATATATATGTATTGTTTTACGCGAAATTTCCCAAAATAAAATAGGAAATTACAGAGGAACCCAATTATATGATTGATTTTGAAAATGGTATGATCGGTTATCATTGTATTAGAATAGATATAAAAGCCTACAGTTTGCATAATCGTTATCTGTTTAATAACAGTAGGATCTCGCAATTACACTATCACTAGTTCAGATAGAAATGCGAACGTAGTTATAGCGTTTGATAATTTGTTTCCCATCAAAATACACCTCTAAATAATTTAGCGAAAATAGTGTGCACTTAGGCATTTTGGGCAAATATTTCGGTAACATTTAGATTAATCACGATATTTTAACTATTTGTGGTCACATCATCACAGTACTATACATGTCAGCCATCATTTCTAAATTAATTCCACCTGTTTATATCCCATGTATACTTTTATCACTAAAATAGATTATTTTCTATGTAATGAAATGATATATTTGTAAATATAATGAAAGATGAAGGCCAAAGTATTGCTGAAGATTTAAACGTATTTCTACCACATGTTAAACTGTTTGACCTAAAGTTTTGTAAGGTCACACTGAAACAGAAATCCTATTTTCGTCACTGTAATAAAGCTTAAATATTGATTTAATTGATCTGTTTAATATAGTCGTAATACGGTGATTACACTAAGCAAAATGAAGACGTTTCAATGAAGAAAATTCTTTCCTTTAATCGTGTTTAATAGCCAATCGATTCGGACTTCCAGTTCCTAAAAATTTTCCTATAACTTTTGAACTCGCTGAATATAAACATTGTTTTAACTACAGTTTTTTTGTACTTACATCTGTCTACTGAAGTCTTTGTCCAGTTCGACAATGAAATTAGCAGACAGTTTTGTGAAGATGAACTTGTGAAATATAACAGATTAAGTAAACAAAATAGAGGTTTTGTATGTTAGTAAGTTCAACTTGCAACTTAGTCATCAGTTTATTTCGATATCTTTCAAATTAAATAAATATTTATGAATAGTAGGCACATAACTAAATTAAAAGAAAACATACTTTTATCCCAATCACTGGTGATGATATGCTTAAAGTATATCAGCCTTTTATAATTTATCCTACAGTAAAATGAGTGTTGAAAATTTTAGAAAAACCAATTCATAACCGCTAATGTAATTTACGAATTATTCTCCTCTGAATATACCAAATCCAAAACCATGCCTCCTAGACTTACTTTTTGTGCCTGTCTTTTATCAGATCTTTGACTTTGATTATAAATACGAGAGAAGTTTGATACAATAACGGGAACAGGTAAAGCAATTACAAGCACTCCAGAAAGTGAACACATACCACCAACAATTTTTCCAACTATTGTTTCTGGAACCATATCTCCATAACTGATAAAAAACAAACAAAAGTTACCGATATTTTATTACATGCTCGGACAGATCACAGAACCTCAACTACACTTCAGTCTGAATACATTTAACTTTATTAAGCCCTTCAATTAACTTATCTAACAGAATCGTCATTCGGTCAGTAACAATTTGTCTATATATTTGTATGATTATCATGTTTGTGTGAGCACGTATTCTTGAACATGAGTTAGAGCCTACACGCATATCTTACCAGCATAAGTGTTAGTTACTTAAATTATTTGATGACTGATTTCGTTCCCCAAATATATGCTTCTTGAATCCAGTGTCTAAGTCGTAAAAGTTCTCATTCATTCCTATTCGTATCTATGTTCGTATTTACTTTAAGTGTTTTTAATTTTGAGATCTGGACTGTACAGTAATCTTCCGAAATATAATCACCGTTGAGAGCTTTCTAAAATTGATCATTAGAACAAATTATATATAAGGCTTAGGAATTATGTCGAAGGAATTCCACTACAAAATAAAGTACTCTATTATGCTTAAGATCAGTCATTTGACGGATATAGTGGGATGATTTTGGAATTTGTTTACAAAAACCAGACAGTTCAAACCAAGTAATTGATACTGGTATAATGATATTGTTTGAATATAGACATAAAGATAAATTCCTCTAAAACTCAGATATGAAAGCTGTACAGAAATGTCAAATATGATTACAATGAAGTATAATTTATCAACTAACAAAACAGCTAATTTTATAAAAGAATTATATCACGATTTACCTAATACTTGTTAGGGTGATAGACGTCAATGGATTTATATTATTTACCTCCTAAACTCAGTAAATTTAATTTATAATACATCTTCCTAACTTTTATTTGCCTTACAATTACGGATTAAGGAAAACATGGTCTGTAAACTATATGAAACACAAAACCAACATAGACACAAGAAAACAAATATTTGAAATGATATACTCTTGGGAAAAATTCCATTTTTGAGCTAGTTTCTCTTAATGATATGATTGTCTTTCATGAGGAAATCTGAAGAAACACTAGAAAAATGGAAAAACAGCATTACAAACGTCAAATACAGCATTCCTACAGCTTACTAACAAACAAAACAAATTCAAGATAACTCTCAACAACATGCTCCAAGCCTTACAACATCAACTACAACAAGAAGAAATCATGATGGAGAACAACTGGAAAGCGATCAAAGGAGCACCAACTTCAACGGGTCAGAAGGTGTTAGGCAACAACAAGCATCATCAATAGGAACAGATCTCTATCGAAATCCCAAACAAGATTCGAGAAAATGAGGAAACAAAAACACCAGTTAACAACAACCGAACAGGAACCACAAATGTCAAAATACAAGCTACATACACACAAACATGAAAACAAGTGAAGAAGAGCATTAGAGCTGACAATCAGAAATACGTGGAAATGCTAGCAACAACAGCGGGAAAAGCTGAATTGGAAGGAAATATGAAACAACCATATGACACGACGAAGAAACCGGAAATGAAATATAGTAAAATGGAGTGATCGTTCACAGACATGGAATGCAAACCAATCACCGAGATTCAACAACAGAGGAACAGATGAGTAGAACACATCGAGGAACTCTTCAATGGACCAGCTACACTTAATCCACCGAACATCAAAGCAACACACACAGACCGCCCTACAAGAATCACTTCACCAACGAACGAACAGATCAGGATGGCCAGTCATCAGAAAAGCGAGAGTGGAAAAACAGAACTACATGAAAACATACCAGTCGAAACACTCAAGTCACACATAGAAACTACTGCAAGTATACTTCCCATTCATTCGGGAATATGTGGAACGAAAATCAAGCGTAGAAAGACTGGAAAGACGGACACTTCATCAAGATAACAAAGAAAACAAATCTGATCAAGTGTGAGAACTATTGTGGCATCACACTCATGTCAGTGCCGGCAAAGGTTTTCAACAGGGTTTTGCCGAACCGGACGAAAAACTCAGTAAACGTCCAACTTCGAGATCAACTGACTGGATTCCCTGAGGATCGATCGTGCACAGACCGAATCGCGACACTACAGATGATCACCATTGAACAATCAGTTGAGTGAAATTCATCACTACACATCAAGCTCATTGACCAGGAGAAAGCATTCGACATTGTGGATGGGTGAACATTATGAAAACTTCTTCGACACTGAAGAGTACCTGAGAAAATTACAACGTCATCCGGAATTCACAAAATGGACTACAGTGCACAGTGTGAAAGGATGAAAACTCACAGATGCATCGCAAGTGAGGACCGGGGTCAGACAAGTCTGCTTACCCTCCCACGCAACATACACCAGCGAAAATGCAACATCCTCAAATACAATACGGAGAATACCAAAACAATCACACTTGATGGAGAAACTCTGGAACAGGTGGAAACATTCATTTGTCTGATTAACAAAATCGACCAACCAGCACGATCTGACTCAGTCGTGGAGACGAGGATTGGTGAAGCAACAACAGTATTACTACAATTCCTACAACAACATGTGCAAATCGAAACAACTGTCAATCAATATCAAAATCACAATCTTCAATACGAATGTCAAAACAGTCAGTTCTACTGTACGGAGCCGAAACACACAGAACTACCACAACCATCATCACAATCATACAAGTATTTCTAGACAATTGTCTATGCAAGGAACTCCAGATCCGTTGGTCGGACACCATAAGCAACAACGTACTGTGGGAGAGGACAAACCAGCTTCCATCTGAAGAGGAAATTAGGAAACGACGTTGGAAGTGGATAGGACATTCATTACGAAAATCACCAAAATGCATCATGGGGCAAGTGCTAACTTGGAATCCTGAAGAGACACGGATAGGAGGAAGGCTACTGGACACACTACATCGAGGATTGGAAGCAGACATGAAAAGACTGAATAGGAACTGTGAAGAACTGTAAACGATAGTCCAGTGCAGGGTTGGATGGGGATTGCTGGAGGACGACCTATGCTCCTCTACGAGTGAGAACAGGCATAAGGAAGTAATATTTGTTCAAGTATTATCTAGCAACAAGGAGAAAATGAAAGCAAACAATAATCCATCATATTCTATGAATATTGATTTATGTTGGATACGGCATATCATTTACGTTCAGCTTGCTCTAACTACTGTGCATTTAGCACTTTGACAGTTATATGTGTACGTATTAACCAAAAAAATGCATTACTGGTTTTTCTGCTTCACAGAAAAACAAGTTTAACAAATAAAATCTAACATACAATGCATTTCCCTCACGGAAGTCATCTAACTCAATTCAGACAGATATATATAGAAAGAATAAATTAATGAAAAAATGTTTCTATATACAATGTAGGTTATCTATGATTTCTTTATTTCCAAATTTAAGGATACTAAAGCTCACATTTAGGTCAAATATCGAATAAGTATGTAAACAATATTTACTATGAATTTACGAATCACACAATATCTTTTATTATTAAACAATTCAATCTTTTTCAGTTCTAATCATCACTTGAAAGATCAGATTTTTCCTTGAGGATAAAACACATAAGTAATAAGAAATATGACACCCAAATAGTCAAAAACGATTATTGACAATATTTATAAAAATATTCTATAATTTGTCAATAAATTCAACATATTAAATGAAGTTATTTTAATATGGTAGGACACAAAGATTACTGTCGTATTCTTTTCATTGCACTGCTGCATATACTTCACAAGTCAACTTTATAACTTCGTAGATTGGTTGAGGTTAGACATTAGCACCATTGGATGCCACCTCAGTGGTCCAGTAGGTTAAGCGTTCGAGGGCGGGACCGAAGGCCCTGGGTTCGAATCCCGCGAGCATGATCGTGGATGTACACTACTGAGGAGTCCCACAATGAGACGAAACGGCCATCCAGTGCTTCCAGGTTTTCCATGGTGGTCTAACATCAATCGGTTCATGATCTCAATCAAAAACTTAATAATCTCCACAACCCCTAAACTGATGACTTTACAACTGTTTTATTTAAAACCTACTCAAAATATTTCAAGGGGGATGCAAACAAAGTGTAGCTGATAAATTGATCTTAAAACCAACGTAGTGGACAAAAAACAAAAATATGTTCCTATCACAACACTATCCCTTAGATAGCAAATTAAACTTTTTTTTCATTGAATTTTCGTTGTTTAATCTCAAAGATGTCGTCCATCGAGAACTAGAGTAAGATTTTTGCTTCTACCCCGCCTCTCTCTTAATATGCTCCTATTCTATAAAAGAAATTTAAACGTAACAATCATATTTTTTCAGGGATGAAAATTTCCTTCACTAGTGATTGATAAAGGAAACAATACCATGAAATTATCTGGTGTCACCCTTTACATTCAGTGGAAGCAATTCACACCAAGTTAATCCCTTAAAATCAAAGAAGTAACTAAAAAACGAAATAAAAATTGGCCTACAAAAATTATGTATAAAAGTTTCTTGATAAACACCACTCACTACCGGTCTTTATTTAAAATTATTTATGTAAACTTACCCAAGTGTAGTCATGGTGACGATAGTATACCAAAATGATGATGGAATACTGGAAAAAGTGGTCCCTTCAACCGATTTTTCAGCATAATACATAACAGTAGCAAAAATAATAATAACCATTGTTAGACTAAATAGAAGAAAGCCCAGTTCTGACGCACATGATTTCAAAGTGTAGCCGAGTATTCGTAAACCAACACTGTGACGAGAAAATTTGAACACTCTAAATACTCGAAATACTCGTAACGTTGTAAATACACCAGAAACGCTCTGTAATAAAAAGAAAAATATATGTTTGTCAATCTGATCGCTAGTCTAACTTATAGCGTATCAGTGAATCAGTATAACTTTGATCATTAGACGAAACAGAGAATGTATTTGTGATAACATATATTTACGATCTAAGTTACAAAGTTCGAATGGACTGCGGAGGTTCAGTGAAACTAGTTAACCATTTATTTTGCATTGATGAGGTCGAATAATAGATATAACGGCTTTTTATCTTCTGATAAGCACTTAATCAAATGATGTGATTCAAATAAACCATACTTTATTTAATCCAATCACCTGTTCCACTGTAATTAAAACGGTTTTACAAAATATTATGTATATACCTTAACTTTCTAAATAAAAAACTGAATCCATGCATAATTAAACAGCTTTTAAAGTATATAAATTACATCCGGTTTAATTGAGATCTTTCACGATTGCTCAACAAAATCAATATATTTAGAGAAAAAGAATACCGAAATTATAAACAGATCATAACTATATTGGTAAGATTATTGAATACTTTTCAAAATTAAACATTAATTTAGCGAAACAAGTAAGCACTGAAGATAAATTTAAATCTTTTTTTGGTGCAATAAAATACATTTCAATAAAAAGTCAAAATTCCAAACTAAACTTTCTTTGTAGGCATCCATATAGTTTCAGAAAAGTTTTAAAATAAAATTTTAAAATCCAACCGAATTGCTTACATCATATAAAATAGTAATTGTTAATTAACATTCAACAGATATTATATTTATCAGGAAAGTTTCATATCATAAATCACTCTGTCCAGAAACTTTTTATTTGATATGAACACTATTATCAACAGTTTCGAGTATAATTTAGATTAACATTATCCTAATCTCTTACATTATCGATGGAGAATAATCAAGATTTTTTATAAAGCTGTAGTTCATTAATAGATTTCTAATGAGAAGTAAAAAGATAATGTGTTTAGCTATTTTGATTACAAACTATATATTATTTTTGATAGAAAAACATGTTTACATGAGTCGTCAAAAATAAAAGATAGTATGAATTGGTAGCAGTGCTGTACGTAATTTTGTGTGGTTTATGGTATAGCTTGCACCATTTCATAAATTCAACATCGAACAAATTGAACGAATTTATGATAAGTAAAAAATTATTATCTCTATTTTCATTAAATTTCTAAATTACTGAATAGCCCACTATTAACTAGAATAAAAACATTTACTAGGCGTTACACTATTGGTATTAGCCGTAGTTTTCGAATAGCTTACACAAAATTATGTAAATGTGTAGCACACATCATGCTTGCATATAAAAACATAATGAATTATTGGAGCGTATAACGTAATTATGGTATCTTTACTGACATTCCATTCTACAATACAATTTCTGATTCAAGTAAACTGTGATTATACTACCTACCATTTTACAAATTACTTTTAAAAACACATAAGAGTACTGAAGTTAATACACTAATTCACAGATTTTTGAAAAAGCATTCCAACTACACTCTCATCGCTTTATACTACATATATATATGCAAGTTCCGAAAGAAGTAATGTAAATATGAAAAAATAAGAATGGTAGTAAAATGAAATGGAATAAAACTATTTCACTTGAAAATCAATGACTAATAACAGTTTCTTAGGTTACTTGTTTTTTTTTGTAGATTTTCAACGTGACTAGTGTTTTTAACCATATTTCTTAAATGTATTTATCAACTCACATATACTTGATAAAGGTGACATCAATGAATATCAACACAGAGTCATAGAAAATATAATCTTTCAAATAGACTTACAAATTCATGTGAAATTGCTTCGAATAAAAGTCACTTTATAAAAAAAATGTATTTGGAAATTTATAAAAATTGTAACTATGAAATTTTAAGTTAATGAATGACCGATAAGGATACCAACATGTGCAAGTTTAATTTCTCTAATTAAAATAAAAAATTCATATTAGTTAAAATATCATTTGAATGATGTGATTATGTAATTAACTATTACAAATCACTTAACATTTCATTCATTATGGTAATGGTAATATTAGTCCATTAAAAGGTCTCAGAAGTTACTTGTAATTTAATCTTTGCTAGGATATAACAACTACTTGTTTTTTAAAGCATAAAATTCGAATTATAAATGTTAAATATCCATAACCTAAGCACTTAGTGTAATTCTATTAATTATAATTACTCCAAAGTTTTATTTTCACAAGCTGTTTCTGACCAAACTTTATAGTTGAGTTACAGTAAAATATTAAACAAATTACATTAAATCTGAATAATTTGTTAGTTTTACAAAATAATGAATTGAAAATGTAACTGATATAAATGATTGTGTTAATTTAAATTTTTTCGGAAAATGCATTATGAAATCTGCTAAAATGTCAAGATTTTCAAAGCACCTAACGTTTAACGTGATCTAACAATCATAAAGTATAAATGTCTTGTAAAATGTCAAACCTAAGACATTTTTACAGAAGCTAATTAAATCTATGATACTATTTTTGTTTTTATCATTATAATTGATGTTTTGAAAAATAAAGTGACTTTTTATTATGCTTAATTCCCTGCTATACAAATTTAATAAATGAAATGAAAGTTATTTATAGGAGATTTGAAAACCCTGAAACTTTACAACAGTGTGGTCATATTTTAAAACATCAGTCAATCTTCATTTCTATGATTCATTAGACAATACTCATTTAAAAAATTTGATTAAAACTCTGTCTTCGTAACTAACAAATAATAAAATCCTGATTTCCTGTGAAAATATGAAAGTCTTAGTTACAACGCTTTATTTAGTTTGATTATTAAAGAGCTATTTTTTTAATGGCTGCCGAATATTTCGCTGAAATAATTTACTGGTTTTATTATGGACAGTGTGTTTTAGTTAATGTAGTTTGAACAAAGAGATAATTAATTTTTTAGAATACCTGAAATGTTCAATTAAATAACACTATTCAGTTAAGTTTTGCCCTTTGTCTATTGAAATTACTTTAGCATCCACTAACTACATTTAACCATCTGCTAATAATCGGTGTTTTCTGAGATAGAATTAGGTAGTCATGGTCACAAAACCATCTCACTATCCTACTAAAATAATCACTTTCAGTACTGTTCTATCAAGAATATTTATAGGATATCTCAATAATATGGTTGATGGCAATCAAAGATACTATTTTTTTTCATTAAATGTCGTACTATTTAGTATATATTTACTTCTCACCTTTTTCTTGGAACCGAACATGCTGTAATTGACTTGATTTCATTAGAATGAAATAAACTCTGCTCAGATTTCTTTTAAAATAGGAGATTTAAAGTAGAACTCTGTTATCCCTGATTCTAACAACGCTTTCAGTCACTATTAAAATTTTAAACTATGGTACAGAATCAGTTATCAAGTATTTTATCGTAAAACTGATAAAAGACCATTTAAAATTATTTGTTGTCATCGTAAAGTTGAATCACAAAACCATTTCTTTATTAAGTGACACAATCCTGATGTAAATGATTATTCAAGAACCTCTTTCAAGTTTTAATAGAAAACTGCAGGAGTGGCTTAAATACTATTATTTGTTTTGCTTATTTGCTCTACTTTTGTTAATTTATTCTTTCACTGTGCTGATTTAAAGTATGGTAATATGAATTCATTTCCTTCTGCTCCAGTTCCTACATTGATAATAACCGAATGAAGTACTTCATACATCAGGTGTTAGACTGAGATGAATAATGATACAAGATCCGGTCTTTAAAATATTAATAATTTATTTCTATTTTCCTGTTCATTTTTGGTTCAATGTCTTTAGTTCACTTGTCTCATTCCTCCAATATCATAAGCTTACATTACCAAATCAGTATTCTTATTTGAACAGCAAAAATGACTTATCTAACTGGTCTGTAAAAACGTTAAATATATTTGTATAGTTTAGGCAAATTAATTTATTTTATCCATTAACTTAATCATTGTCTGATAGCCTACTTGATCACAATATGGGTGTGAATATCGCACTTCACAATATTATGCAAATACCAATAATTGAAATACATTCATCTTATGGAGTGATATTTTGATCTAATAATTAGGGTAACTACGTACAGATGAAGTCTCAAATCCTTTGAAGTGTAACAATATTGAGTGATGAGAGTGTAATTGAGTTCCATATCTGGATATATATATAATTACTGAGCAAAAAATCAAGGCAATTTTTGTAACATAATTTATGTTAAATGGATGTTGTTTACAGTCAGAAAGCCGGTTACCATGAGAACCGAAAATAGATGACAAACAGGTATTACGTATTTAATTAATATTTACTAAAGACTGACTGAATTTTGACACTAACTAACAAACAATAGCCGCTTACTTTGATCAATATGAAGTTAAAACTCTCAAGCATCTAAAAAGTTTCTGTAAATCAACTCTCAGTTAAAGACATTCAACAATGAAAAATAGAATATCAAATATTATACTCTGTTATATAGTAAATTATATTATTTCCATGAAATACTGGAGGTTTGTTTGATTTAGAGATACAGCATTCTGTATTTAAAAGTAAAAGCAAAAGTGATATGAAAGCATATGTACGAAAAAACAGTATAAGAAAGTTATGAGAGCTGAATAAAAAGACTTGAAATGATAAACCACACCAGTTGGAGATTCATCTAGATAGTTGTAAGTAATAGCTAACTGTTTATAAACACGTATGTAATTACCTGAATAAATCGGTTTAGGCCACGTCCTGCGCATACAAATAAAGAAACCATATTTCAGTAAATACGATATGTTCATAAACCAGCGGTCAATCAGTTTGTTTCTTGATGGGTGTTTAGTTTGTTAAATGTGAACTGTCAGTACTTGAGTACTTTAAGTCAATAGAATAAGAATTTTGATAAAGGGAGAAAAACAATGGAAGAAGTTGACTTAATAGTTATGAAGTTACGCTAAATTAGTTAGTAGACAATAAGTATTCATCAAGAATGTCATTCAGTCAACATATTA